GTTTAGTCCGAAGTATTTGTCAAACGACTGTTCGGCAGCTTCTTTCGAGCGAGCTGAATGTACAGTATGAGGCGAGCATGTGTAGGATCAGAAACAGAGGATATGAAGAGAAAAAAAAAACACCAGTGTGCTTACAGGACAGCTTTCTATCTTTCCAGTCCGCTGTTTGCACTCACACCAGTTACCATGGATACCAGGGGCATCAAAATACAGGCACGGTGACAAATACCAACATCTGTGTGTGTGTGTGTGTGTGTGTGTGTGTGTGTGTGTGTTGGGTCAGTGAGGTTCAGTCTGGGCGGTAATGTGAGCCCAAGATGAAACAGTCAGCCATCAGCACATTCCTATGGGCCTCGGTTTTCTTCTGCCTGGAGGGAGAAAGAAAGAAAGAAAGAAAGAAAGACAGAAAGAAAGAAAGAGAAAGAAAGAAAATTATACAGAGAGAGAAAACCAAACAGCTGTAAACATGTCATCTTCGAGAAAAGATGCAGTTGCCTCCCGGGGCCTTTCAGAAACAGTCCTAATCATATAGCAGCGACTGGTCCACCTCTCATCAGAACATTATGTATAAGTCTGTATGTTGTCGTAGACTTTATATAATGATATGTTTTGCGGAGGCTTTGCACCAATCTGCCTTCAGCCTCGTCTGCTTCATGGCGGTTGTTGGGGAATTTACTTCCCACAAATATTGTCTGGATATCTGCACACCAGACTAGAAACAGCTTAAAGGATGATTGTTGTGGTGCGGCTGCAGGGCCAGTTAATGACCCTGTGCAGCGAGGCTTTTGTTTGTTCAAATAAATTAGGATGCAGGAAATGTAAAAAAAATAAATAAAAAAATTCACAGCCTGAGATTCAAGTTGGCTGTCAGTTTGAACAGACTGTGGGAAAAAATACGGTGGAGTTTTTTTTTTTCTTTCTTTTGTTGAGGCCACAGAGTTTAACGAGTGCACTGACATGGACTTGAGACAGAAAAGTATGTGATGCTGTTGTAAGATTGTAAGATTACAGTGAACACACAGTTTGATGCTGGTGAGTTTGGTCTGTTTGTGACCTCCATGCTTTTGTAAATTTAATTTATGACACTTCATTGCTTTCTTTTTTTTTGTTTTGTAACCATTGGTAGCCATGGAAACATATTGTGATGGACAACCATCTTCGTCATTTTAGGTCACTATAGTGTCACTTCAGAAGGTGTGTTTTTATTATACAGAGTTAAAAGGATAGCCTTTGAATGTGGGCGGTATCGGCTGCAAAACATTTTTAGCCATCTAAAATGTCAGCTTAACCCGTTATCGGACAAGGAACCATATATGGTAACTTCCACAGGCTTTTAAAATGGCAGGTGACTTCATCCAGCCAATCAACGAAGGGCAGGCTTCATCACAACAAAACACAATGGCCTCTGACCAATCAGGAGTGAGCCAGAGTGACACAAGTTCCTAAATTTTGTAAGTCTAACTGGTGATTTGGAAATAAATGGAGGGGGGGGGACCCTGGACAGGTCACCAGTCTATCACACGGCTACACTTAGAGACAGACAACCAAGCACACTCACATTCACACCTACAGACAATTTAGAATCATCAATTAACCTCAACGTGTTTCTGGACTGTGTGGGAGGAAGCTGGAGAACCCGGAGAGAACCCACGCTGCACGGGGAGAACATGCAGCAAGATCCCAGGTGTCCTCACTGGGACGTGAACCGGCGACCTTCTAGCTGCGAGGCAATGATGCTAACCACTGCTCCACCTTGCAGCCCAAGAAAGAACATGTGCAAAATATTTGTTGGTACTCATTATAGACTTTTTTTTACTATGTTAAATAAATTTTCTGATAAGTTGACATACTTTTGGTTCAAATGCATGACAAATGTCCCTCTTTTTATATTTAAAAAAATAATTGAAAAGCTTCAAAAATAGAAAAAACAATAACTGCAACCTAAACCAAATGGCCTGGGGTCCAAAATAACCCAAAAGTCCTGAATAGGGTTAAAGAAAGCTTCACTTCCCAGCCGATGAAGAGCGCCTGATGGCCACATAAACCTATCAAAGTTGTCCAAAAGTGGCGTACAGTTAAACGGATTTTTTCAGGTGGCTTAAGCATGTATTGCTGCTGACCTCAGATAGTTCACTGCTTAGTTTTCCTGCTGGTCTGCTTCTCCAAACTTGGGAGATGCCGACCACCATCGACTGTGGTAACACACCCTCACCGACTTTTGATACATACAACCCCACTTCAAAGAAACTAAACTCGCTTTAACGTCACAGTGTTGGTACAGTTACACTGACAGGCTCTTGTGTATTGATATTTAGTAAGAAAAAAAAATCTGCAAATCAAATAATATCGAAGTTCAGTCAAAACTGAGGCAGAGAGAAGACGTACTTGGAGGCCGGTGGAGGTGATGGGCTGTGAGGGAGAGTCCCAGCTGCTGTTATTCTTGCTTTCTGCCTCTTTCAGCTCATGTCTGTTTGAGGAACTGCCTCATTTTCTCCATTCTTTTCTCCATTTTTCTGATTCAGCCCACCCCTTTCAACATCCCACATCCTTCTCTCCTCTGCATGCAGAGGGGAAAAACGCAGACTCCACAGTAATTATCCAGCTGGAACTGCTCATGAGGGCTATTCTGGCTGTATTAAATTCATTACCAACCAGGGAAACAGATTCTGAATACTCCCCGAGCACAGTATGTGTTTTCATGCGCACCGAGTTATTAATGTGACACCGGCCTGACTGACAGCGCTGTCAGGAAGCTCTGCTACACCTGAGGTCAGCTCTGGGGTTGAAAGGTTAGAGTTAAGCAATTGACCAGGAGGTAACCAGTGGGTTAAGCAAGCGTGGCAACAGAATGAAGTATCTGGGGAAATTCACTGGAAATCACCGTAACCTCCTCCAGTGAACAAGAAGCCTCAGGAGGATTAAAGGAAATCCTTAAAGCGAGTCTCTGGTTCTGTTTCATAGCTGAGAGGAAATGAATGGAAGTCATCAAGAGCAGGGCATTTGTGCCCATCGCAGCTTTATAGTTTTTAGTTCTGCAGTTTTACTTAGCTACACATTTTAGCATGTTGTTGGTTACTTCATATACAGCTGATCAGATGTTAAACCAACAATTTATTGGCCAATCTGTGCAGCACAACTGAAAAATTTCCACCTTATAAAGAGGATGGCTAACATGTTAGCAAACCATGGCTTATGTACACCTCAGACAGACAAGGAGCAACATTAGCATTCATTATATGTTGCGTCTCTTTGAATCTGGTGACTGTAAGTGCAACATTAGCTCCTCTTTTAGCTCCAATTTTGGTCTCCACCACCTCCTGAAGGAAATAATGGACTCTACAGCTTTGCTTTATTCAGAGCTAGTCACTCACGTTGTCGCTCTCTGGCATTTGGTGCAATGCAGGTAATATCACAACCTTTTTGTGTGAACAAACCTGGTGAGAGTGAGTTAGATTATGAACCTGCTGGCTGTAAAACCAAAACAATAAGCTGGAAGATGGTACAAGGTTCTGCAGAGCGAAAGCTGTGGAGCACGGTGGCCAACGGGGGCAAGTGACGTGCATATACACAAACAAGCTGCATATACATGAACGCGTTGCATAAACAGAAACGCGTTGCATAAAGAAAATGCTGCATATCCAGTCACACAACAGAAGCGCCACAGGAATCTAGGGTGTTTAGCTTTTCAGTCACTGTGATTATATGGGTGCTGAAGTGGTGTTTTACTACCGTCTCCCTGTGTTCTCTCTGTTATATATGTTTATCTATGGAGACGAGAGAATACAAACCTTCTCATACAGCTTTTCCCTCAACTAACGTTACTTTACTTGCTCGCCGTTGTCTGCCTCTCAGGTGAAAAGCTCACTACTGCCCCTAGAGGCCTGGGGCACTTCCGTTGTGTCAGTAGATGTGCAGCGTTTTCTTTCTGCAGCACATTTCCATGTTTGCGGCGTTTTCTTATTGCGGCATGTTTCTGTTTATGCAACGCATTCATGTATACGCAGCTCATTTGTGTATATGCACGTCATTTACCCCCCATTGGGCACTGTAGTAAAGTCATGTTTGCCACTTGCATTCAGGTAAATTGTTTCACACCACAGGCTGTCATTTGAGCTCCATGTTAGATCTAAATATTGCTTATGGTTCCTTTTTAGCAGAAACTCTAATACTGGGAAAAGCACATCAATACTCCACTGCGTTCATTTTTAGTTTTCATGTTCTCTAAGCTCAGACATCTTTTATTACATTCACACAACAATGCAACACTTTTGTTAGTATTTTTAATCTGCTTTGCCTGCAGACAATTAGATTTGTCAGTATAGGTGTAACTCATCACATTAGTTCTGACTAATGTTGTAGTCAAGAACTTTAAACCAAAACCAAGTCATGACCAAGATCAGAGGGAACCAAGACTGAGACAATACAAGGGTGACAGCTGTAAATGGTCGCAAAAATGTATAATTAGTGCATGAAAGTTCACATCCAATCATGATGATGATGTTAACATGTATACTAGACAATGCATTTTAGTCCTCTTTATTGATGAAGATCAAATAAAAATGTGGTTGATTCTGAGACAAGACCGAGACTGTCAAAAAGTGTCTCGATCTCGAGTTAGCACAAGTTGTTGCTGACTTATTTGTCAGGGTTGTTTAATTATTATAGGTAATAAACAGACAGCATCAAGCTACACCTGTGTTTTTCCTGCTATGAGAACTTAAATTAGCTTTAGTGTAAAAGGCTTATTTTTGGAATTCAGAGGACTCAGTTAAAGGCTCAGTGTCATGTTCATGTGAATGAAGCTAAATAGGTCCGAGTCAGAGCCTAAAGCCGAGGCAGTCTGTGCGTATGAGTGTAGCCAAGTGTGTGGTTATACGTAGATAACTGCTAATGACACAGTTCAGCATTGTCTAAATCAGCAGGAGTGGAGCTGCAAAAATGGAGATTGGACAGGCCTTTACACAGGAATTCAAGAAAAAAAAAATCACACAGAAACTTTCTAGTAGAAGCTTAGGAGTCAACCTTTATTGATACTGTTAAAAAAGTCATGTCAACCAACAATAGAAAATCATATACGTCTTTCATATTTGCTTCAGTACTGCTGTTTATACATGTAAAAAACACTTGATTAACATAATGTGTCTTGTCTCATCTGTGTTGTGAATCACATTTACCCACACTGAGGAAGTTCCCTGTCAAGCACTGATGTTTGCTGCATTTCTCGAGTATTAAACGGCTGAACCCAGCTAGCAGAATGTAAAGTTGTACCCAGTTAGCAAGATGTAACAAATCTTCAGTTTGACACTGCACCAGTTGTCACTGAAACACAATATGATGGTGCTTCTGGGTTTGGAAATCTGTAAACAGTTGACTTTTCCAAGGCGAAATCACATTCTTGGTGATGCCACATAAAAACAGGTACTGCATGCAATCCCAGTTTTAGAACATTCTTGTAACGGCTGCTTTCAACTTCAATCGGTGATGCTGATGTTGTAGTACAATTAGCATAAACTAAAGAGCACCGATACTATGTTATAACACAGAACAGCAGAGCAGATGGATGCTTTGCAGTTCAGTTTGCACCTTCAACATGAATCAAATAAAAAAAAACGAGTTTGAAACATCCAGGTTCTTAACAAATGGATATTTGTCTCTTAGGTACAGCAAGTCAGATCACCAAAATTTTGAAGCTGTTGGTTATTGGAACTCTTTTTCATACAAAAGTGTGAAAAAAGACACAAAAATTGCTGTGGGATGTTCTACTGAGGTGTAGGATCACTGTCCTATTTTAACAGCTGGTCTGAAGTCAGCGATCCTCACACAAGTCTCCGTCACAGTGCTCCTTTTCTAACTAAACTCACATAATGCTGCTAGAAGTTGCCAGCAAAATAAGTGGCTGTCTCATTTTGTTTAAGGAAACTACACCAAAGCATCACAACGAATTTGACGACTGCCTCGTGCGGCACCTTGACATCGTTAGTTTCGACTGCAATGAGCTCACTGGAGTGTTTTCGGTGCCCAATTACGAATGCATGTAGTAACACAACGGTACAGGACATAACTGAAGGACGTACATTAAAATGAAACTATTAAAAAAAATATCAAACAAGAAGAAAATTCCAGAAGACACTGGATACAGGAGGAATACCAGCAGTTTCAGCCTCTTTTCTACACCCTGAAGTCAAAATCTCAGAGTTCTGTCCTTCTTTGTCCAGTCTAACTCTGCTGCAGTCACTGCTAACATGCACAGTTTCTCTAGCTGTGTTTTCTTACCTGCTAGCCAGGAGATATTTCAGGTGCAAACAACATAAAACGTAGCTGAATCCCTTTTAGTTTCTACAAAATGTTGTTTTTTTTTTCTGTGTAGCTGAGGTGTTGAGAAACGCTGGTAAGCCTTTTATGACTTTTAACTGGTTAGCGGTTGTGATTCTAAATTGTGCACACAGTGTCTGTGGTTGGACACCTTGTCGATATTCAAGTACTCTCCTCTATTTCTCTCGGGGAGTAAAATAAATTAGATGCTCTTTGAACTGCCCTGCAGTTGCAATGTGACCGGTGGTGATATGACTGAAGACATAAAATACACATAATGGTATCAAAGTACAGTATTAGGATTGTGTATAAAAGATGTGAGGAGAGACCTTGAACCTGATTTCTGGATGCTCGATTTCATGAGTTTGAATGTCAAAATGCTAACAAAATACATACTGTAGTTGCCCAGCAGTCTATGTGCGCAGATACCAAAACAAAAAATATATATAGCTGTAATCTAAATTCAACTACATGAAAAGGTGGTTAAGGATAAAATCCAAAGCCTCAAAGATATCGACCAACATAGCATTTAAAACACATCTCAAACACACTGTAAAAACATACCTTCCATATAACATCTGTACACTTCCCTGTCACTGAATGATACAAAAACTGGACCACGCATCATGTAACTGTATCAGTCTGTATAAAAGGGTTGGAATTTGTTGATTTAGCATGTTGCTGAATAAAAGAAACATCACAAAATGGTGAAAAATCTTTAAAAAAAAATCTTTTAGCAAATCAAATGTCTTTTGTCTGTGACTCAACACCACGAAGAACGTCACCAATTAAATTTGCTTCAAAAGAAAGTTCCCAAAACATTTGATCACAGCAATGGAGAAACAAGCCAATCCGTTCTTTTGTAAGTTTAACTCAGTTACTGATTTTCCCGTACAACCTACTTTTCACCTTAATTCTCAATAACAATGGCCTAACTCAGTAGTTGATAAAGACAACAAAGAAATTTCATCCATTGCAGTATTCTTCTGTTCCTACATGCTTTGCTGTCCAGCAACAATCCTCCCTGATGTCACAAACGCTGAGTAAAATATTTCCCCACATCACCCCATTCAGTCTGTATGAGACAGAATGTCAAGTCAAACTGCAAGTCCTGCTCATCAGCAAACACTAACACCCTTTAGAAAATTACATTTTCTGATTGTTTAAAGAGGGATCACTCTCATTTTGGCACATAAACTGACTACACAGAGCAGTGATGTCAGGAAAATGTCAGCTTTTCTGCCATTCAATCATTTTCTTCCTCCAGAATTTAGCGTCCCAGGTGGTAGCCTGTATAAAATGACTTCAATTGCTGGCCTACAGTTTTACTTGACACTCGATCCCATACGAGAAGACAGAACGACTGGGATTCAACATACTGCTGATCTTTGGCTTAAAGCAGGAGTATCTTTGGCAGCGACGACCACAGCCTTCAAACTGAAAGAACTGGTCAACAGGGCGGTAATATCAATGTGATATCAAAGCGGGCTGCGTCGGGAGGGTGGGAGGGGTTTGTCTGTGTGATTCAGGGTCGAAGGCTGGGCGGAGGACGCGTTGGCGGTGGACAGGGGAGCCCCGGGGGCGTGCGGGCCGGTGGCGGTCCCGGGGGCATCTGGCCTGACGGGGGTGATCTGGCGGGAGGGCTGGCGGAGGTGGGAGACGAGGACGGGGTGCGAGTCACGGGGCGGTAGTCTGGTGGCGGTGGTGAAGGAGTGTGGATCGGAGTGCGGGGGGCGGCCTTGGCTGCCGCCGACTCGTCTTTCACTCTTGTGAAGTTGATGCATCGACCCTAATGAAAGAGAAAGAGACACGTGAGATTAAAAAGCTAGCAGTGAATTAAATTTTCCGAAATGCTTCAGTAGAAGGCAACAGGACTTCTGGTTCTTGAAGACGTTCCACTTCTCCTTCAAAAGGTTTCCATTGTTCTAACTGACTGGAAGGCAGTACCAGGTATTTGTTCCCACTTGAAACTCCCATGATTCCAAGTGTTGGTAGAACTGCCTGGTGAATGTCCACATTTAGGACAGAGAGCTAAGCAGAGGGCTTATCCTTCATTATTGCAGAGGAAGTTTGCAGATATTTTTCAAATTTTTCAGAACTATAATTGTAACTTTGAATCGATCAAAATGTCTACTTTAATTATTTTGGTTTTCATGATTATAAACTAATGAAGTTCATCGTTCATTAGCCTTTGCTGTGATTTATTTTAGTGCAAATATCAAACGTTATTGCCAGCAAGCGCTAGTTAAACATGTCAAAACAGTATACCTGCTGTAACACCAGCATGTTACTGTTGTCACTAATCTTGTTCTCATGTATTGTCATGCTAAACTGAAACGCATTTTAAACGCATATCCCCCATTATGCTCACTAAGCTTTTTTTGTATCCCAAAAAGTCAAAAACTACCTCAAGCAAAAATTAGTTTGACAACATTTCCTAAAATTTTGTCATTTTCAATAGGTTCTTCTGAAGCGATACTTTAACATGTGCATAAAATATCGAAGAGTTTCAGTGACAACATAGAATCATACAAGCCATATGAGAGAGCAGCAGGAATGGTACGTAGACAATATACATACACAATATTCATATCTGGTAATGTAAAATTGATTTGGATTTTGAAAAAGTGTTGACATGTCTGATAAAAGTGTAGGTGCACAAACAGGTGTCTGATGTAAAGTACATCTGGCCTAAGAAGACAGCTGAGCTCAGGTCCTGGTGCAGTAGCTGCTTCCTCTTTGTGTGTTTGTGTTTGTGTGTTTGTGTGTGTGTGTGTGTGTGGGTGTGTGGGTGTGTACAGCCAGCTGGTGTTCCAGATTACACTTAAATCCCTGCTTGTACGCCCTCACTCCAAATTATCCCGGTTAGGCCGATGTTCTGTCCCGAGAACTGTGACTCGCTTACTAAAGTTCCCCTGGTCACGATGAGACCATATGGAGAACAAAGATTGGGGTTAGAGGCTGGTGTGTGTGCGTGAGTGTGTGTGTGTGTGTGTGAGGTGACAAAAGGTCACAGTTGAGGTGGAACATTTTAACAGCCGAAGGTTGACTTATCAGACTGTAAAAGGGATTAATTTATTCCGGCAGAAGTCACATTTCTACTTGTAAAATATTACAGTAACCGCAGGCTTCAGTGAGTTTGCAGAGGTCGCTGTTACCATGGAAACTCTGCCCACCCCATAGCTGCCTGTGGTTGGCAGACAGAGCGGAATGAAGTAATGTTAATCTGCTAATAAGCAGTATTTGGTGATTCGAGCCACAGGGCCATGGGTTTTACATCGTGGAAAACGGGAAATGATGTCAATCATAAAGCTGTGTGGAATGAAGACCTTGAGCACTGAAGACAAAATTAGATTTGGCTCTAAAATGTTCATAGAGTGCAAGAATCAGACAGGTAAAGCACCACAGAACTGACTTAGTATGAGTGAAAGTAAGAGACAAAAGCAGCCCTAGGAGAAGAGAAATCAGACCGAAAAAGATCCATAAAGAACCAAACTGAAGTGAGATCCCACTGTAAACTTTTGCCCTCTGCTCCAGCCAACCACTCCTGTCCTCTCTCATTTAGCCCAACAGCTCTGTATCCACCGCAGACTCCTCTATAGTGATGATGTTGACTTTCAGCCTGCTTCTCATCATGTCAGAGACAGATTAAAGATGCTGGTGTAATGAGACATTAGGTGCCGGGAATATACGACCGAATGAGTAAATACACCACAATGACCAGATGTAGATTGAGAAACATCTCCATCTGTAACAGACACATAATCACGCGGAGGAAACATTTGGCAGAAATTCAAAAAAATCAGTCCAAAGAATCCAGCAGAAACCAACAGATTCTGGTCTGTCGCCACTTATCCGGTCTGGAATTCTGAGACATCAGTCAAAAAAGTAAGGATTTTTAAATTCTTTAAAGCTGTTTTCTTGCTAAGAAGAAATTCTTTTTGCAATATATACGTACGTTCTTGGAACTAGTGTTGCACTTTGGCTTCATCTGTCAGCTGACGGGCTTAACGAGTTTGGAGGAATCGTTAAAAACTGTGTCATCTAGTTCCACACAACGACTTCTCATCCTGATTTACGTATAAAAAGACGTCAGAGGAAATGAATCTAAAGCTGCAGATGTTTTTATCATCTTGCGGTCAAATGAGTCTACGTTACGTGATTTTTAATTAACAATTACAATTATAAAGTACGTAATCTTAAAAAAAAAGTGACACTTTGGGAAATATGCTAACTCACATTTTAAAAACAAGATCCACCCCACTGTCACTCATACGTGCCAAATAGAGTTACAACCAGAAGCTCTGACGACCAGAGCTCCCCAATAGACCTTGTTCACTGCAGGCATTTTGACTTTTTATTGCAGGAAAGTCATTACAGGCAAGTCATGCCACTCAGCAGAGCAGTTATTACACATTAACAAGACCAGAATGTACAGAATCACCAGTCAAATCTGATAGAAACTGCTTAGAGAGTAGGTGAAAGAAGGTTTAAAAAGCAGATTACACTTTTCCTACACATGATGATTGTTCTTTTTTATGTTTTTTTGCTTTTTTTTTGTGGACAGATGCGAGACATACGTTATACATCTTTTGTGTTACAGAATTCTCTCAGATTTCTATTTAGGACTGTACAAAAGGCGAGTCTCTCTCTTATAATGTCTCTGAGGAAAAGCACCAGTACAATTACTAACTGTGATGATGTCTAACTTCCATTAAGCGTCCAATTAAACCAACAAGTCAACAGTCAACAGCACGATACAAAGTGCCTGCAAAATGCTCACCTAAATGGAATGCAGCCATGGTTACTGTTTTCAGGTACACCTGTGCTTTCTGGTCAAATATCTGCTGTGAAAAAGGCCTGTTAACCTTTTCCATAGCATTTGTTTAAATACTACAAACACAGCAAAATGTAATATAATAGCTTTAGAAGTGCTTGTAGTTTGCAGTGTTACGTTATCTGCTGATGGTGACTTCATGTTTTAGGTGGTATTAATCTACTCGTAAAACTCTCAGTGAGACAGAAAACGTTTCCCCAAATATCAGATTTTTGCTGTAAGTATGTGAGCAAGTAACTTCCTGCTGATGCTGTTGATGCTGGGTTCAAGTGTACAGTCAGTGTGTGTAAACCTCAAGGCGGGTTTCAAACTATTTTTATGCTTCGATTGAGAAGTTAATATAGAATTAGGAAATGCTGAATTTCATTTGGATGCATTTTGCCATTTTTATCCCAGCTTCGCTTCATGAACATTGTTCTGTTAGCACCCAGCTGCGGTTTGAACCTCTGAACATTTTCCTGGATTTAAGAAAGCCACACTTGCTTGTTCTTTCTGACTGACCTCCTCCACTGTCGACAGTCTTACCAAGGTCATAAAATTGTCTCGGCCTGGGCTAAATGTGTGTGTGTGTGTGTGTGCGACATGGTCAGTCGGTTGGTGGAGACAGGCCTGGCAGTCGTCTGCCATAGGTATTACCTCATGTCCTCCAGCCAGCTAACTGCCTCCCTCGAGAGGCTTGTGTTTATGTGAATAGGAGAGAGAGAGAGAGGCTGTGGATAGCTCTACATCATACTGTACGCTCTCACGTCAGCGTAATGGATGTGGTTTGGTGACACACAATGGTATAATGGCTAACTCCTTTCTCAAATGTAGATCCTGTGATCTTAGCTCTGCAAGATCACACACATGAATCGCCTCTCTGCTCTGCATCACGGTGCTGTGCAGAGTCTGTGCTGAGCAAACAAGCACAGAGGTTAGTGGGTTCATTGCTGGGCGAACGGAAAAGTGTGTGTGTGTTTGTGTTTAGGCAGAATTAAGACGAAAGTTAGAGTGAAGTTACTGGTGCTAAAGTCAAACTCAAAAGACTCAAGATTGAGTTTTCAGTTAAACTCAAGACGACCATGTCCACACAAAACCACCAATGTAAAACGCATCATTTCCTGTGTGGTCGTGCATTACTCCTTGTACTGAGCAAACCCATAGGAAGTGTTTTAAACAGAAAAGTGAGACATTTAATGGCTTGGATATAGGCTATATCAGTGATGTATTAGCTCATAAAAATGGTAATTTATTACAAAAAATATAGAGTTTTATCATCATGAAAAACCTTCAAATAGTCTGAGGATTGATGCAGGCAGAAGAAACGAATGCGTACACTGCACAGGATTGCAACCAGGGCTGCTCTCAAGGGTGACATCGAGCCGTAGCAATCAGCATAAAAAAATGCATCAAGTATCCAGCCTGAAGTCATTTGGAGAGCTTTCTTATGAATTTGAAAGGCTGCCATGTTTGGAGCGTGAGGCTTTGCTCTGAAAGGTCTGTTGAGGGTGGGACTGTGGAAACCTCTGCAAACTTCTGGCAGGATCTTACCAACACACAGCTTTTCAGGTAACACTTAAAATAAAGATTGAGGTGCCTCACCCTAGTTTCCACTCTTCTCGAAGTCGTTACACTAAATGAGACGGCCTGCTGGCCCGTGAGATGCTTCGGCTGCTTTGTTACAAACCACAAATGACTTGAGGAGACGACATCATTCGAGTGGAAAGAGAGACAGGATTTCTTCAAGAAAATAAGCGTTGCGTCATGCGAAGCTCACGCATCCCTAAAAGCTTTTCTGGGTAGGAGAAATTTGTTGACGAAGGGAGTCAAATCCCAAATCTCTTTTATCTGACCGCCAGTTTGCTTTGGTGAAGATGTAATTGTAAACCAACTGTGGCTGTTTTTTAATCTCATTTGTGTCAAAGAAAAGCTGAACGGTTATCTGGCTGCAAATCCTGTCTCTCTACCTGTTTGCGGTGCCAAGAAAACACTCTTAAATGTGGAATTCCCGTTAAAAAAGATCATTGGAAATTTTCTGCTAATAAGGCAGGATTTTAACTGGTGCTGTGGATGCGGCCTGATCAGCGGGAGAGTCGGCTTTAGGGAGGACGAAGAATAAGAAAAGGGAGAAAACAACTGCTGATAAATGAAAAGGTGGAGGGAGAGCAAGAAAAAGTAGATGAAGAAGTCGGTAATGAGAAAGAGGACTAATTTGATTATTATATTGCTGCTTTGAGCTAAAACCATCTTATTTTCATGTGCCAATATGCCGCTGCAACATATGCATATTAGCGCTAAACACATTTCTAGGATGACTAAAAACCAAACAGCAACTATGGAGAGTTTAAACTTTATGCTCCTCATTTATAAAGTACCAGTGAATTCCAAAGCGCCCATTAAGACTGGCTCAGTTGGAAATTATATAGAACACATTTAAACATTAAAACTGTCTTTGCTGAACGAGTCAGAGGGATTTAAAACATCCCTAGAGAGCTTTCTGGACTCAATGAACTCCCATCTTCTGTCCACATCTAACCAAAACTGCTATCAGGGGCTTTTTGATACAAAGACTCTGAACATTAAAACCAAACCATGTGTCTAATCTGTGAAGAAGAGAGAATTTTTACCATCTTACATGCACGAAACGCATCTGAAAACACACCCGTCGAGCTACAAGGATGTGAGCTTGTGGTTCTGCTTTTTATCCGATTTATGGCGTCTAATGTGAAGCAGGTGTGAGAGCGCGGCTAGCTCAACGAGAAGGAATGGGCCAACGGAGGTGTTAGCCAGCGCAGGAACACCAGGAGTGAATGAGACGGACAGACGGATGGAAGGAGGGAGGGCGGGATGAGTAATCGGTACAGATGACTGAAGCATTCTGAGGCTGGAGACGCACCAGGACACTCTTAAAAACTGCGACGCTTTGGAACATGATGTTGGATTTTCTATCCCCAGAGTGGATTATCGCACAACTTCGGAACTCCAGCATGAATTCATACAATACCATTACACATTTTGTTAAAGCTTCTGTGAAGAACTGACTAACCATTCCAGCTTAGCGGCTCTAATTCGAGCGTTTTTGGATTTCTCTCCGATGAATTGGTGTATCGGGGCTTGTAGTCAGAGGAAAAAGTTTGGAGGATCTTTCCACAACCAAAAAAAACCTATTATACTACTGTACCTACAGTCATGCACTAACCCAGCTCCGAGGCCAATGAGCAAAAATCCAATTTCTTATTGTGTAGCGGAGAGTAGCTTTACAGTGTTTGAGTCATAGGTGAGCTGGTGTGCTCGAGATGCAGCAAGTAGCGGAAGATGTGTCTAAGATGTGTAATTACATCTAAAACATTTTAAGACATGAAGGGATTCAGTTCTTTTCATGGAAAAACCTTCTTTATATGGAACCCTGATATAAATAGTTCAGTTTTTAGGGTTTTAATCAACAGCTGGAGGGGGATTTCAGGTATACGAACGCACACTGTACATAAAACCATGACAAACTAGCACTACGATGCAATACTATAATGTTTGTTTAGCATCAAAACTTTTGAGTTTATCACATGGAGCCAATAAAGGGCATATTTGAGGCCTTTTTATGTTTTAAATAGGTCAGTTTGAAACACAAAAAAGTCAGCAGGACACAGTGTTTTCAACCAACTCAAAGAACTATGCTGTCAGATTAGTTATGCAGCGAGCTAGAGGTGATTCAATCTATCAAGCTATTTCAACTGAGGTTTGTCAGTTGAGAACCTCACAGGCAAAGCAGCAGGACCGAACGGGGACGAGCTTTACCAAATGCACAACTGTATCAAAGCTGTATTTAATGCTAAGTCAGAAATTTTTCTCTACTTCACAAGAAAAACACTCAAGTAACACATTCTCTGACATATTCTTGGCCAAATAAACACAAGAAACAAAAAACGGTTTACTTCTGATCTGAATCACCCAGTGAACTCAGAAAACACATCTGAAAAGAATGAGAAAATACATGACATACGATTGAGACAGAACAGAGGGAAAATGAGAAGAGAATGATGCAGCTGTGGGTCACCACAAGTATAAATCCCTGCAGGAGGGCTGAACTGGAGGGTGGGTGTGGGTGAAAGCTTCTGATGAAATGAAACGCTGCTGAGATACTTACATGATCGCCGGGCTGGGGTCTCATCAGGGAGACCTGGTCGTACCCGCGGCGAAACAGAGCCCAGATAGCATCCAGTTTACCCTGAACAGGACAGAGGAGAGGGAGAGGCTTAACAGCTGGACACATCTGGACACCAAACCGCAACGCATAACTTAATAAAAACCTGCTAATAGTGATTTTTCTGTATCAGCGAACATTTGGTCTGTGGTTCTCAATCAAGGCCAAGAGTCTGCAGGTTCTAATCCCAAACAAACACTATAGCAGCTGATTCTGCTGATTAGTTCCTTTCTCTCTGGTTGAAGCAGTTTAGTCACTGATTAGTCATGAACACGACTGGTTACATTACTTATGTAACCTAAAACATGACTGAGCAAGGATTTGCTTCTAATTCACAGGAAGGGATGATGATCACAGCTGTAACAATAACAGTAATCCAGGGTGTATCTCAATGAGAACTGTATTTAACTTTTGACAGACCTGCAGGACAAAGGTTTTGAACTAAAACCTGATGGATTAAATGGATTAAGAGGGATATTCTCCTTTCACAAATGCTGAAATCTTGTTTTCTTGGACCAAAAAAGTGAGCTGTGTTGGCACATAGTCGATAGAGTTTGCAACAGGAGTTTTATACCCTAATCTGAAGTGAAATCTTAAGATTGTCCCGTGTAGAAATACAGAGCTGCATTGAGACCAACCACAGACCAACACATACACACTGACTAGTCAATGTACTTACAGTGTCTTTTTCTAACTGTTTTGCATGAAGAGTGTAATGAATCACTGCAGGACCTCTTTGGGTAGTATTTAAAATACAGTCTTTCAAGTCTCAAGGTAACAGCGTGTGCAGATAACAGTACAGCTACTGTATAAAAGGCCCGTGTCACCACACAGAGCTGCATTGTAATGTAAGATTCAAGTGCAAACCGTGCTAATAATGTCTCACTGTCTGCAGTATTATGTTGAATTACTTTGGTTATGTGTGCCTATTGATAGTTGGTGAAATTTGTGCTTATGCAACTAATTATACATAAACATGGCCAGAGTGGGTTTTATTCCTCCCTGCTGTCTTGTGAAAACGTACTCCACTTGTGGTGCTTTTCATGTTTGAACTTCAGCTCAAGTGTTTCAGGCTTCTCTGTGGGCTATGAAAGTTTTGCTACCCTCACTTATTTAAAAATTGGTGGCCAAGAACTCAAAAACGCAGAGCGGTCAAACTGTAAACAAGGCGGATTTTTTGAGTTCCTAAAAAGCTGATATTTTATGTCAGGACGGCATTCCTAAACTAATTGCAAACACTTTCAGCATCTATAAAGAATAACAGTGGGTTTAGGTATTTTTAACACTACAGTGCCCCATTGTCTGCTGATCCTGTGTGAAACTGAAGCTGTGTTTACCCGGATGGGCGTGTACCACTTCCGGCTCTGTGGCGGCTTCTTGTTCTGAGGTTTCTTAGGTTTGGGCTCGAAGGGTTCGTACTCCTGCTCAGGCATCTTCACCACAGCGTTCTTTGGCTTCTCCAGCTTCGCCCCCTCCTCGGTTGAGCCCTTCCCTCCCCAACGCACCTATTGACAGCAGACAGTACAGAAGCAGTCAATGTAACCTGTAATCAGTAGATTTAATTATAATTTTCTGTTCACACTGTGCACATATCGTTTAGTCACCTCCATTCTTTTGATCCCTCCGATTCCTCGTCCTCCGTAATATGAGGCATCCACAGTGGGCCACTTCTTCTTGGGCAGGCCATCTTCGTCATCTGACTCCTAAAGCACAAATAATTACACAAAACATGAGTTCTTCACTTTGTTACATGCTTTTTAAAACACACTTTTACAAAAAAAAACAAGTCACTATAACGTGATCAAGCTGAGATCTACATATAAAATGGAGATATCCATTTACTAACCTTTGATGTGTGTACAATGTTAGTTAAAAAAAAAGGAAATGTAGAATGTGTTTCCACTCTTTCTTCCATATAATATGTTATTCCTGCAGTTTGATTGGACTTTTGAGCTTCTACTTAAATCAAACTACTCATCTATACTACATTTTTCATTGGTAATACTTGGTAGGTGTGCATTCGCGTGTGTGTTTGACTCACAGGCTCAGGAGGAGGTGGTGGAGGTGGCTCTTTAATCACCTTTGGACAAATGAGAGACACAACATGATTTTCAAAACCACATTAATCACATCAGTGCTTCACATCTCAGGGGTTTTTATGAGTTTTCTCTTTGTGTAAGGACCCCCGAGGTGCTTCTGGGCTGTTTTGGAGTTTAGACTAAACTCCTCTGAAGCTGCTTAATTGTAAGTTAAGTGTTGTTTTTAAAAATGGTCCACTTCCTGAGTGTTGTTGGTGTTTCTTACCACAGTGCAGCAGAGAGGCCAGAACCACCACATGAAGAGCAGGGCCAGCAGGAGGAACAACACCAGCAGGGTGATCAGGAGGATGGTGCCATCAAACTGGAGAGGAGACACAAGTGATATGAGTACACTACTCAAACCAAACCAGACTAATGGCACTTTATTCTTCCACATTTACCCAGCGAGACAGAGATTTAACCTACAAAGTATAGAAATGATACTCATGCTACTAAAAAGCTAAAATTAGCACCACCTTTAACAGATGCTACATTGAAGTCAAGTACGCATTATTGAATCAGTAACTACTGTTTGGTTTATAAAACACTGTTAAATGGGCCTTTGTTCAGAATTAGTACCTATACTTTTGGTACTTTAAGTATATTCTGATGCAAATACTTTTGCACGTTTAATCAATTTTAAATAGTTTCTTCTACATCTAGTAGAACAACAATGATTTGTATAAGCAACAGTAACTGCAGTAGAAGTAGTACTAGCAGCTCCAGGTCATATTAATAACAGCAGTAGTGGTGACAATAAAAAGTATTGCAGGACTTGGAGCACGAATAACAGGGGCGACTGTGACAGCAGTATAATCACACTGTAGTAGTACGATACATCTGAAGCAACATTAAAGCCCACAGATTCTTTGTCAGTTCTGTCACTTCAATATCCGTGTTTTTTTTTCTCGCTGACAGTGGTGAATGTAAGTTGTGCGATTCCCTGAATGAATCCGTCTGTTAACACCGCTCTCCTTAAGTGAGGCATTCGTCTGCGAGCCAAACATGGTTCCCATTACGGACCAGATGAGGATCGCATGTGGTGAAGACTTTCCCCTATCTATCTTGCGGCAAAGCTGTGGGGGATTAATTTGAACTCAGCAGTGGGGCGCGCTTGCAGAGAGGACATCACTGGAACCAAATGATTATTTCTCAGAATTCTCTCAATCAGCAAGTTGTTATTTTCGTGAAACAACCTAATCAGCTGACAAGTCGGGAAATTTGATGAGGCGATCGTTCAGCAAAGAATGCTGAAAATTTCAACAGTGACCACATCTGTATTTTGCCTCTTTAACACATGTTAAGTGTGCGTCTTTTCTCATGCAATATGACCATATTTTGTGGGACAACAACAAAGACTGAACCTCCTCAGTGTGGCCCTTTGACAGAATTTGGGGAGCAGTCGCAGGGGGTTATTGGGTTTGTCTTCAATCTTGATTCATGGTCTATAACTTGCATGCTATTTATTGCACCAGGCCTCTTACTTCCAGTTGGTGACATGTCGTGCCTTCTTAAGTCTGGTGTGACTCCAGTCTATATGGTTCAGTTTAGTGGCGAGAAGCAGCAAATTGCAATGGCATGTCTAATTGAGGTCTGTATATCATGACCCACAACACAGTAGTCTGAATTTACAGTATCTTCATGACTATGATGTCACGCGAACTGAGGGAGATCAGCTTCAAAGATTTCTTTTTGGTTAGGTAGAAATGTGCTGTGGCTCTGCTCCATATGTTCCCACAGACGTCTTTCATTCTGTTCAATGGCTTTAAATGATCCTGAATTGCATCTTGTTTTTTTTAAGGAATCCGCCCTGCTTCCCTACTGAAAGTTAAACACATTCACACACCTACAAAAGGTTAATAATCTAAATAGTGTCACCATCAGTCACGGTTGTTACACGATGCTTTTCTTCCACTTTCACAAAATGCTGAGATTGAACAAGAAACTCCACGGTCATGAACCTGCTTCTGTACCCTTTTGTCTCCAGGGGGTTCAGAGAGTCTTTTTTTTATTTTAGGTGGACCGCTGCTACCAACCCCTGTGGTTTGGCTCCCCAAAAAAGGGGAAAATAACAAAATTGAGACAGGGAAGATGAAAAAGATAAAGCAGTAAAGGGAACTCACTGCAGAGAACAAAACAACAGACTTCTAGGAAAAAAATGAGGTTGCAGAGGACAGAAGAAGAATGAAGACGCATGGAAAACACATACAAAACAAGAAGGAAGAAAAGCTTTGAATATGTTAGAAAATACACAACATCACGAGTAAATTCCTGATTCTGAATGCTGAAAAAAAAATAATTGAGATGACAGAAAGACAAGCATTTAAAGACAAAATTAACATCCACTCAAAAAAAGTGCAACCTTCCCTTTTTACTGTTTTAACAGTGTTTCTGCTTTCGTGCTACACTTTGTTACATCTTTAAGACAAACTTTTAAAAACACACTAAATTTAAGACACACTAATAAAGGGTGTGTATACATGTTGTGATCAAAAAACTCAGAGATTGTTTAGGTTTGGCCTTTATCTCCTACCAGTGTGCAGCAATTTAGCGCTCCCAGTGCTCCTGAAACATTTTAAACGCTCTCTGGAAGTCATGTTCTGTAAGTGCATCCAGCACCATCTACATTGTGCCCTCGATCTCCTGCGTTGTGTTGAAACAGCAACCCTTAGGCTTGAATTTCATTTTGAAGATGATGAAGAAGTCAAAGAGAGCCAAATTTGGCAAGTACTGCAAGTGGGGAACAGCTATTGTTTTAGTGTGGCAAAAAAATTAGGGTAGGTGAGCATTGTCATGATGACATGTACCATAGGTTAGATTATTTGCATTAAATGTTCTCCCTCAGACACTGCAGGATGATACAGTAAAACACTGCGTTGAGTGTAATTTTAAGGGACAAAATCCCAGTGCCCAACTATGCAAATGTTGAGAAAAACCCTTAGCTGTGCTGCTGACCTGATGACCCTTCTTAACCCTTTATAGGCCACTCCTTGAAATACTTGGAACATTTTTTGGGGGTAGTGATATTGGCACTAATATAAAAACTAAATCAAAGAGCACATGGTTCTTCAACCTCAAGGAGAGGCACAGGGTGGACATATTGAACGTCCAAGGAGGTTACCAAATATGGTCACTTGCCCCATAAAGGGTTATTCATGGAACTGTGTGTCCTTCCACTTATGGCTGCTGTCTGGTCTCTGGGTAGTCGCTGTAGATCTAACTCTACTTGTGATGAGCCTCAACATGAAGGTTGGGTCAGTTTGACAGTGCTTGATGTTTGTGCCAGTTTAGGGTCCACGGTCAAATCACACATGGGAAACTCCAGAGAGTATTCCAAAAGTGACAGGAGCGCTGGGAGCGGTGTATCACTGCACACGAAGAGCACTTTGAAACTGATAGTGGCCAAATTTCAATCAGGTGTAGTTTTTGCTTTTTTAGGTTCACTCTCTGAAGTTCTTTGTCACACATCGTACATATGAAGCTTTCACTTACACACTCAGTGGTGGTGATGTGAACGTTGCTGGTGATGAAGGTCAGGCCGTCATTCATGCTCACTTGGAGATAAATCACCCTGAAACAAAACAACACACACAGAGGACAGGACAAATGAGCATCTCAGTGTTCAGGTGTAGGTTTGCAGTTCACACTGAGTGCATTTGGATCCGTTGATGAAGCATTTCCTTCTTAAGCTCAGTTCGTGTGACCAGAATGACGTCATTTGAACTCGGGTTCACACCAAGTAACGTCACCAAACCGCCTGCAAACTGTGACGTGGTTCGTTAGAAGTGAGAATGTAATTTGAACCAGCACAAAACAACCACAAAACACAAGAGATTATGAGTGACATCCAGTGTGATGCTCACATCTCTCAACTATTTATTCGTAGCCTACAGAAACTGGAATTAGACTACTTGTGACTCTCTGCCAACGTCTCCAACCTGGCAGGAGGACATGTTACTGAAAACTATGTCCAATAAATGAGCTCCTGGGTGAGCTGTGTGACTTTTGTTTACAAGCCCCATTTTACTTGTAACTGAGCGAGCTGAACCCAAATGAACCAAATACCAAAGTTTTCCACAGTGGGTAAAAACAGGAAAAAAAACAACATGTAGGTGTGACTGTGTGACCCAGCACTGCAGACACAAAGCCCAGTGTAGGAGCGGATAAATTAGAACAAATGGAAACGGAAAAAAACAAAACTCGTCATTTTTTATGGTTTTAGACAGGTTGTGTGTTTTTCCAAGAAATGACACCATTCTTATTCCACTCAGAGGAATGACAACAATCTCTGCAACTTGTCCTCTGATCTCTACTTGGAGCTACAAAATATTTTTTATGGAATGTAAATTATACCAAAAGTAAACATCCTAACTCTCATCAGCAAGCTTCTGTTACTTCTCTGTTCAAACTTTGTTTGTGTCAAAACTTGTCCTGAGATCTCCCTGCTTTCTAAGGTTTTTGGGTCTGCAAAAGTCCCCCTCTGAGCGGTGAAAAACAATTCTAAGAATTCCGCGTGACCTCTGGTGACCTCACTGGAGCCTGTTGTTGTTCAGTTCTTAAAAAGGTGGATGAAAGGCATGCTTGGATGTGAATGAGGGCTGGCAGATGGAGAGCAGACTGTTTGACCGATAAACCTGTCTTTGCTTTGACTCACAGGCCTGTCTGGGTTTAGAAGAAGAGGGTGGAGAGAGAGGAGAGCTGGGTTAGTGGGTGAAGTTCATGATCAATAACATTCATACTGTGCTGGCCACAGACATCTGGACATGAAGAATCTGAAAGCACCCCCTCCAGATGTAGGTTAAGGCCCAGGTTTAGACAAAAACAGACAGTATGGTATTAATAGCATCAATCATGCATTCCTAGCTGATCTCAGTGGCAGACTGTGAATAATAGTGACAACGCATTGAAAAAAACTCATTGTTGAGGAATTTTCTTGAGACTTTTTCAAGCACCACAATGAACCGAAATATTGTTATAGAAGAGTTTGGGATGGAATTAGTTATTTTTCTAAGTCAGCCCATGAAAAAACCTAAACCAACAATGGGTTTGTTCTTCTCTCATGACTTCTTTTACTGTCTGTGGCACTCTAGGACATGTATCCCAACTGGAGATTTATTTAGGTCTGTTTTTAGTAATTTTCTAAAACAGCTGGGTACTGAAGTTTAGTCAATTTGTTGAGGACTACTTTTAGTGACGGATTTACACAGATTTGTTTCTCTAGTCAGTATTTATGGCGGAAGACGCAGGAAAATAAACTATGTCTGTTTATTAAATGTGTAAGAAGTGTAACCATGTTCATTGTGAAAAAGAAACGCCAAGTTTGCTTCAGAAGCTAGAAAATGGACAATAATGCAGATCTATAACGATAAGCGAAGGCTTTTACTATAAGCTTGCTACAATGAAAAAAAACAAAAACAAAACAGTATTACCAAACAACCTGTTTAACTTGCTTCTCACAACATGTAGTAATCTAGTTTGGGTGTAAAAGGCCAGTGGCACTGACTAATCTTATTTTTACAAGGAGGAAGATCAGAAAAAGGGTTTTAAGAGGAAGAAAATTCCCCGAAGAGAAGGACGAGCCAGAGAAAACTGACCAGTGTGAATTTGAGGATGTGGATAAGAAACAAAGTGGTGGGGAGGAAATGTTAGTTGTCGAGCACGGTGGCAGACAGCTGTTGAGCAAGGAAATGAAACAGACAGGGCAGACAGTCCAAACACACACACACACACACACAATTTATAACAACGGTAAATGGCCTGAAAATAAACCAAAATGCAATGTGGCAATGATAAAAATCGCATTTTGAGTGAAGTCATTACAAAATGGTCAAAAGTGCTACTAAAAGTAAATCAGTTTCATGATTCTAATGACTCAAAAACTTCATTAGTCTGACGTTCAGTGGAGTTTAAAGCCTCTCCCAGAGGTTTTTCCACCCTGCCGAGAATCAGGCTGCATACAAACACACATGGCCACACACTTGAAAGACCAGGATAGCTGCCACACGGCTTTGATCAGCCAGAACTGGACAAGGAGACTGCTGAAAGAGCGTAAGACTGACAGGGGATGAAAGACGGAGTTCATGAGTAACTGAGACAAATAAAAAACAGATATAGAGAGAGAAGTGAGCAGACGGGCAAGCAGAAGAGGTGGTGGGTAGGAAAACAACTGGCACAGCGGTAAAAAAAAAGAAGCCACTGTGGCACTAAGAGTAAAGACAGAGGTGGAGAGAATGGGGAAACGATAAATAGGGGATTGGAGAGTCGGGAGGTAAAGTGTTTAATCAGGAAGGGATGGAAAGTTCACGAGTACTACGGTAAGAGCAGAAAAATATACAAAAAATGAACTCTGTTAGTGCGATGTTTAATGGAAGCAAAGGCACACCACGTACCTTTAATTTTACAATCCTTCTGCCAAGCTATCGATTTAGAGTCCAACCCATCAGTCCAGGTTGTTTAAATCTTTCCCCGCTGCAGTTAAAATCAAATTCTCCCTTTCCACACTACTGCCAGAGCAAATATTAACTACAAATGGGATTTACAGCTGCTATGGGAGAACAAAATTGAGGAATTTGTATTAAAATTAGAGGAGTACAAGGACCCCTAAAAGGTCAAGAAAGCATGCGAAGAGAGACTCCACTAACATGGGCTGACAAACCCCCTCCTCACCACTCTTTTTTTTTTTTTTTTGTCTCTCTGTATGTTTAAAAGTCTTTACCACCATCAGCTCAACCTCGTATTCTGTGGCCCGGTGTACTTTTCTTCCCATAAAGAGTTAGGTTAGCGAGGTTTGTGGATTGTTGATGTTGGAACGGGGTCAGGTTCTAAAAGGAGATTGCAGCCAGCTGATGAGGAGCGATTCTGGTCACTGCGAGGGTTACGCCGAAAATGTGTGCGACCGTGGTGTGGTGAAAGTTCAAGTACGCTAACCTCAGTGGTCTTCACAGCTCATCACTGCCCTCGTAAACACCGGCACAAACAATCTATTTTTAATGCATATGTTAGTAGCAGCGATCCTTCTAACAAATACACGGCACTCGCAATACGTCCATATATTTCAATACAGATATGAAGCTGAACAACACTGGCACGATGGTAACAAAACACATGAAGATAAGACCAGCAGGAAACTACGACTGGGGACAAAGTTGGTGTGTTATAACAAGCAAAACGACTGATTGGCAAACACTACCCCTTCACTTTGAAATGGCAGACACTACCTGGCCATTAACTGAGGTTGTAGTCCACCAAAAAAACTTGAATAACTGAGATCATCCAACCAATCGATTGGTCAGAGAGGAAAGAAGAGTGCTACCTACCTACTCGTGGTTTTAGCCTAAATGAATTGCAAATAAGCATAAAAGCCATTATTTGCTTATTAAACCTTTTTAGTGTACTGAAATTAGAACAAGAGATGTGGAGCCGACCAGCATGCTCCTGCCCATACTCATGTGATTTTCAAAAACAAAACTTTTGAGGAATATATTGTAGACAATGTAGCAAAATTCAGCCACACAAACAACTTCTTTGACATCGTGTTAATTAGTTTGGAGCAGCTGTCTGACCAATGATAATTTGGCATATCAACCAACCAACCAACCAACAAGTCATTAAGGTAACACTTTTATACAGTCATGTTAATCATCTAGAGATCTTGAGTCGAGTTCCATCTAAAGTTAAATGGCAGTGTTTTGAAATCTTATAAAGTTGCTGGACACTGGAAACTTTTAACAAAGTGCTAAAAAGGCAATCTGCTCTCTGTACACTCCCAGCAGATTAGCATTAGCCTTTATTTGAAGTAATGTTTCTGGACAAACAACAATAATATTTCCTCTCCTTGTAGCTCGGTTTTGGTTTCCACTGACTCATGAGGGAAATAATTAGCTGTGAACTGCTAAATGCCCCCATTATGTTCACCAGCTTGTTGCTAACTTTGTCTACAGGCACCATTCAGTGAGTATTTGTAGTCTTGAACAGACAAAAAAAAAAAGCTCTGGCTGGAAATGACTTTGATGTGAGACTGCTCCAAAGCAGTAGAGGTCAGAAAAAACACAACAATAGGCTGAAAGATTCTTAAACGCTCTGTAAAACTGAGGAGTCCTGTAGTAGAACAATTGTCTGTGAATACATGAATGAAACTTTTTGCATTAAATGTTTTCATTTGATTCATTGTTAACGAAAGACTTCTGAACAGTGCAGCTTTAAAAACACATTCATTATGTGAGCTGCAACGCTTTTGGTCTGCGGCTTTAAGACAAAGGAGTCAATAAGAGGAAAAAAAAAAGTACTTTCTTGTTTGTCATTAGAATTTGAAACCGACTAACTTGGCAGGTTGTCAGCCCCATTAGATTTGTGAGTTCCTGATCTTGACTTACAAATTTCTATGTTGGTTGTTGGCTGTCGTTCTCACTTGTTTTTCTAATGTAAGACAGAAGTAGGACAAATGCATGAAGGGTTTACCATCGCATGTGCTGGCATGACCGCAGAGCCTCTTATATTTTGCTAAGCTATACTGGGATCTAGAAAAGAGGAATGTGGCCTCGGATAGGGATCGTAAAAAACAGCTAATGTATGGCAGGCTTCTCATGGCCTGTGCACATACACACGTGAACCCATGCGTTTCTTTGTGTTTGAGGCAAAGAACGTGACCTGAGGTGCACGTGGATGCCACTTTGCGTGAAATATAAGCACCTTCCCATGAAAGGCATTTGAAAGACGATCTGTGAGAGTAAAGGAAATTAGAAAGTTAGAAAAAAAGGCACTTACTTCCCGACTTCATCGATGACAGGAGCTGGACACAGTAAGTACGTGTTGTGTACGAATGCCGGCTTTACGTCTAGAAAGCAAATAACACATTTTGATGAATATACAGTCATCAGCTTGAGCTAATTTAGGCGTATACAGGAAGAGTTTAATCAATATAGGCTTTCGTAGACTAATATTATACAAAAGTTCTTAGATCTGATACAAAAAGCTCATATTCCTTTACATTCGACCATTTCTCTGTCATAGAATTTGATGTATGATGTGCTTTCTTCTTGTCAGGATCCACTTTCTCATTGCAAAAATACTGCTGTAATATCCATTGCAAAAAAGACGACTATAAACTCTGCTACAGACTGGATCAGTGTACACTAAAAGGGAAGGACAACCAGAGTGAAGGTCTACTCACTGACTGTGACGGTATCGTTGACTTTGAAGCTGCAGAGCACCTGGTCGATGTTTCTTGCGTGGAGAAATCCATTCCCCCTCACAACCACTTGAAAAGACTCTGGTTATACAAGACACGTTGATATTTTTACATTTTTGACGCACAGACAATCTTTGCCAAGAAAAACCACATCTGATACTCTATTAATTTATTGTACATGAGGCTTATTTTCCTGTTTAAGATGGCACGGTTACATTTCACGCCCAGGTGGTTCCACAGACTGTCTTTTAACTCCGAATGACTAATAATTCAGCGTATTTGTCAATGTGAGAACAATAACATCACTGAGATAATTAGTCTCCGAACGGACCGCACCAGTGTGAAAACACGGTGTATCAACTGCAAATATGGCACAATAAAAATGAATCGAATCAAATAAAGGCCAATGAAAACTATTAAGTGTCAAGTAAAATAATTTCCCTCTTAAAGGGTGAAAATAATTCACTGCTTCATAAAAGGAAAAAAGCAGATGTGAAAAACAGTCCTTCTGCTTGTGCCAGAAACGTTTAATCAACCTCTACTTTCATCTGTTCATTTGTGCGTTGCTTGAACTGTCATAATCTTTCTCTTGGCAGAACAATAAACGATGTCGTCCACTTAACATTTCAGCTGCAGCCAATCTCACCAACGCCACTCTCACATGGTCAATCTTTTTTAATGAGAGCCTGTAACACTATTCCCACTGCGGTGCCCTGTCCCAGCAGACTTCCCGCAAGTGACCTGGATGCCCATATATGGTTGTTTATTCAGTCTGGAATTGTCATAATTCAGAGAAGTGGACATGAGACACCCGCTAATGAAATTAACACAGCTCAAGGAGTGATGAGGTGCCGGTGTCTGTGTCGATGACTCAGGAGACACCCGGTTTAATTTGTGTGAGTGTGTGATAGTGTGTTTGTAGCGCCCCACCTTCTGCACACACACTGGAGGGCTCGGCTGCCAAAATTTCAATACAGGATTTCTTGATGATCTGGAAGAGAGAAGGCAGCAGTGATTTCTCTATAGTGTTGAGACACAATATTAATATAGTTTAGCACAAACAGGTTCATCAGTTTTATTGGTACAAAAAGAGACAACAGTGATAAATTAGAATGTTCTGTGCGTCTGTAAAATGGAGCAGTCTAATGCAATCCTTCATAAAGTGTGTCTTGCCCTTAAAAGCTGTTATTTATACCAGTTGACTTTTGGCTAAACTTTTCTGAAGTCTCAAATCATAGCTTCGCAAAAGTACGTAGGCACTGCAGGCCCGTCAACCGCAGAATCTTTCCACATTGAGAGCGACACTAGGTATGTACAGAATTTAGAAAAGATACTGTTTGAAAATAAATCACCTTCAGACAGCTGCTAAAATCTGCCAATGAAAGTCATTCCTGCTGGAAAAAAGCTGTCAAAGTTACTATCACAGAAGCCTGACTGTGTTTGCTGGTGTCTGATAAAAGGAATCCAGTGTTTATAACTTAAACACTCACAGAATTCAGACCAATAAATCCACGTGTATGTGCTGTGTGATAACAGAAAGCTCAACAGGTTTAGCAGCAGTAGCTGTGGGGATCGGGTCTTTAGCGAACTGTTTTTGGAGGACATGAGCCGGAGCGAGCTACCCTGCCTGCACTGTACACTGAATATACAGTACGAGTGTGTTTCACGAAGCCAGTGTACACAAAGAGTTACAGTTCTGCCTGCTGCATGGTAAAAACAGTGAGCAGAATTGAAACTTTGTCTGGTCAGAGCTCCTTCTGATCTCTAGCATCGGATTGACTGGAACAAAAATGAAAGCAACAACTTAAATATATTCCTTTCACATTTGCCGAGTGATCTTTCTGTGAATTTTACTCCAGAGTGTTTTATAATATCAGTTCTTGGCTTTAAGGCAAACATGCAGAAAAGAAGGAAAAAGTGATTGTGCTGATGTAGAACAGATTCAGGTTGAAAATGTAAATATGGACGACTGAACCTCCTGTTTGTACAGGCCAGTTTCTCTGCACAGAGAAGAGTTTATTTACCGAATCAATGACACCCCGGAGGGCGTGGAAGCCTCCCAACACAGGAAACACGTGCTCGATGGTGTCTGCAATGGTGGCCAGCTGTAGCAGGAGAGAGGTGTGAAGGGAGAAGAGAAGAGCAGGAGCATTAATCCGCAAAATAATCAAGCAATATTGATGAAAAGTGAGCACTTGGAACCTCTTTAAAGTTTGACAGCTGAGATTTTATAACAAGTTCAAATTGGCCTCCAATGTGCTGCTGTGACGCACTTTCAGACGTTTAGATGTTAACAAGCGTACAGAGGATTAAGAGCTGCACATGAGGGAATCCAGTTCTCAGCAATTATCTCATATTATCCACAATCAGCTAATGGATCTATTTACAATCAGTCAAATGTCCGGTTACACATCGTTTGTCACTTTAAATACAGGAATCATCATGCTGAAGCTACTTTCCAAGTACTACTCAAGTTCCAGACGTCATCCTGCTCCAGTTTTGTGTGTCGGTTGCAGGTTTGGCCTGAGAGGCAGCTCAGGGTTCAAAATCACTCGGGTTGGTTTTCAGAAAAAATGATAGGTTGGGCAAACTGTACACGGGTCACTGAATTAACAGTGGTAACCGCATTTTTGATGTTGCCTCATCTCTGGAACACTGAGCACATGTAGCACAGTACATGTAATATATGATAAATGGTTTCACAGATATTTAAAATTATGTTCAGACTCATACCAGTTATCTGACATTTGTAAAATAAAAGCAACCATATGCTGCACAGGTTTATTCTGTTTTACCTGTGTCTCATTGAAGTCTTTGACACCAACGCAATACACAATAGCTCCAAGAGATCTGGCTTCCTCTGCCTGTTGGAAGACGAGCAAAAGGCCGAGTGAGTTCCAGAAAACTGGCAATCAAGCAATGAGAGCATTCCTGCCTCCAGATGTTACTTGAGCTTTAACTGAAGCCATTTGGGAAATCAGCCTCAGTGTGGATTTGTTACCTGTTGTTGTGCAGTGATGAGCTGATGTTCCTGCAGCTCTCCATCTGTCAGTGCAATAATCACGCTGGCTGTGCCTGTAAAACAGATACGACTGTGCTGTAACTTCAACATGCAACTTAGCCTGCAAAAAAGGTTCCTCAATGAACGAGATGCTTACCAAAGTTCTCCTTGCGTATCTGCTCATTAGCCTTTAAATAGAAAGACATGTTTATTGTCAGAAGGTCAGGAAATACCAAAGTTTCAGATTTAAACAGGCAATTAAATAAACTATACTTAATAGATTGATCTGCATCGTAACAAACAAGAACACAATAAAGGCTTACACTCTGCAACCCGAGGTGCATGAACGTGTCTCCACCAGGGATCTCTCTTTTCAGAGCGTTCAGACCTTTTCTGATGTTCACTCTGTGCACAAGATAAAAGTAAAAAGTTGTTTTTGATAAAGACCTCCACTGTATTCTGCTTTCTACTCTGTTACATTTCATAGACAAACATAGGACCCTTTATTTCACTACACTCATCTGTGAAGCTCAGTTACTTGTCATATTTCAGATTTACATTAATCATATGGGATAACCTTATAAAACGCAACATATTATCAAACATCCCCAACCTTCTTGGTTTGTGACATACAGAAACCGTCTGATTGGAGTACATTTACACTGTATTCAGTTTTTTTTTAATAAAGAATCTGAACTCTTCTTCCACCACTGACATGTACCTCTGGTTTGAAGTGGTTAATAGTGGAAACAAAGCTCTCTTACACAACAGCAGTTTCTCCAACAACAGCTATATTGTGACATGGGCCAATTTTCAGCTTCATGTCAGTTCAAAGGGCATCTGCTTTCACTCTGGTACAGTGGTTTAAGTTTACTTTGCAGCTCATTGTTCCTGTTGTGTACGATCACTACATGCTAGAGTAACATTTATACAGCTTAAAACACAAAGTCAGCTTATGTTGGTCAGCTGCTGTTGTTAAATCAAATAATTACATTAATCGACACACTGTATAAGACACAACTTCATTCACCTGTTTTCAGTCAGTTTCATGATGGTGGACGATCTGGAGGAGAACGTTATGAAGGACATCCTCAGCATGGGACTGGAACAAGTAAAAAGAAGATGAAACATCATCACAGCCATTATTTAGTCGTCCATTCCACAGAGTAAACAATAAATGATAATACATGCCAGGGTCTAATATTTACTGTCAGACGTAATTCAACATCTGGCTGTTGGCTCGTGTGTCCCCACTGTGCACAGCATGTAGTAACACAAACATTTCAGCATCATCTGAGATTATTCATAAACATTTTACTTAATGCTTAGTTACAGTAATAAAACACAACAACACATTGTTTTTCCCAGAAACATAAAATATCTGGCAGGGCATCATCACATGCTTTACTTTCCAGTCCAACTCCTTTTATTTAAACAGCGGATATCTCATTCTTCTGAGAGCACTTCAGCACTCAGTGTGTGATTAATTTGTTGATTCGAAGGCAACACACAACCTCTCTGAGCGACACCATGTGCAGGATTTGAACGCCCCCCCTGCGTGACAATGACATAAATGTTGATATTGGGACTGCGTCACTGAATCTTCAGATGTGGAAACATTTGCTATTTCTGTTTATTGGTGAATTGTATTTAGAGAGGAAATACACACATTCTTAACTATTTGAGGGGAAATGTGTGTTGTTTGTGAGAGACTGTAAGTTAAGGCAGATTTGTGCTGTCTAAAACATTGATGCAGCTTTGCTATGGCTGGACCACAAGGCTCCAGGTGTTGTTGTGGCCTCCAAGCAGTACGGACAAAACAAATCCTCCCACGAGTTGAGAGACAAATGTGACCATTTGCTGAAATATCCCATTTTACAACACATTCACGTTTCTGATGCTGCATAGTGTTAAAATGTGGGTCAAATTTCGGCAACGACATGATCCAGATATGTCAGTTACATCCACACTGTCTTCATTTGCTTTTCTCGTGGAGGACAGTTGCCGGATGCCACACTGGATGACTGTTACTGATCTGATTGATAAATAAAAGTCAATGGTGAGCTTGACACAATTACAACATAATTTTTTGAGCTGACCACAATTATTTATTATTTTGTTTGATTTCTCTGCATAAAAGCAACTGAATGAAATTGACAGAAATGTCATATTTGAATCACTATTTCCTTGTTGTTTTCCACCATTTGCACCCCTTTCTTCTGTTTATTTCAAGGCGCTTAACTTCTGATCTCCGACTACATATCAATGAGTGTCTACTGACACAAACGTCATGGTTTTAGTTGTAAAGCGAAACACCACAGCACTGCGGTGAGCACATTTAGATTTTAAGCCAACTATAAAAGAAGATGCGACGCAGGATGAGATTTGTTAGATTTGCCACATAACGGTAGCAGTATAAAGGGCTAATACTACTAATCTAAAACTGATAGGGGAAAAAAAAACCACAGAAATGGAAATTAACAGAAAAAGACGATTAATTCATTAATTCATTCCAAATGGTTAATGCTTTTTGTGACAAATAGAAGCTATAATTCAGAGGTTGTGCCAGACTTAGTGGTCATTATCATTTTCAAATAAGAGCAGAATTAACAACAGGAACTCAATTGAGCTTTTTATTGCTCAGCCTTACTATAAAAAATATATCAAGTGACATTTGGAAAAAAAATATTTGAAATTGTGCACTTTAGGGAAGCTATAAAACCAAGGCTGGTCACATACAAAAGAGCTTCCAGTCTGCAGTCAGTGATGGTAACCCCACAGACATCAGTCCAGCTACTGCAGGGAGTGGATCATCAGTCTGGATACTGAGTGACTTAGCATATGGCCGGTTGTAGCTGCAGCGACAGATTATATTTTACTTTACCAGGGTGACTGCTGCGTAAAGTGTGCGTTTCTCTTTAGTGGTCTATATCTCGGGGCTCCAGGAAGTCGAACACGAGGCGACAAGGCCGCTTGGAGACCTACAATCTAGTTTCCAAATGTTTCAGATGTCTCAGTCCACCTATGTAATTCCACTTTTCTACTTACATGCATGGTTATGAAGTGTCTCTTACCTTTTGAATTTCTCTGCTAAATTCTCCACAAAGTAGTAGATTTCATCCCAGTGATCCTTCACACTACCAGATCTAAGAGACAGAAAGAACCACAAAAAATGTCAAGAAAGAAATTCACCATCACTGTGAATATCCTGTAGACAATGCTGCGATAACAGCCATGAAGAATGCGCATTATTAACAAGAGGAAGCGTTTTATGGCACCGCTATAAAAGCAGCACAGGTAGTCTTAATTCATGGTTGTAATTACCAAGCACGGTTGGACAATATATAGCATAAAGTGGTGTAACAGTCGTAAAATGTAATTTCAATATGCCTTTAAGTTACAAATGCTTTGTTCAGGAAGAACTGGAAGCGAGGTTTAAGCTCTCCATCAGACCTCCATATGGTAGAGCATTCAAACAGGAAAAATACAGCTTTGCAAGCCAAAAACGACAGGGGGTCGAATCATTAGCTCCACAACACAAAGAACAAGCTGTATGTGCGCTAGGCAAAACACAAATGTTTAACTTGTTACATAAACTTTACTGTCTGTCACTTCTATTTGCAACAAAAGCATTGTTGTTTGCTTAAATAATACAAAAAAAGTACACTCTTATTCCTCATTTGCTATTGATAGACAGTGCTCAGTTGGTACAGCCTGCATCTGTTACGAAACCTTGACTGAAACTTCAATTTTACAAAGAATATTGACTTTTCTGTTCATGTATCACAAACACCACTTGGGGAGTCACTTAAAACAATTAGCCTGCTCTGAACATTAGGGGCTGGTAAGTGTTCTGGTGAGATAAAAGCAGGGCCTGAAGGATAATTTAGCACCCTCCTGTGTCCTGAACCGGCCCCTGGAGGTTGAGGAAATAGGCCCCATTCTCCCCAGGGGAAACCTCCATAAAACTGGACTTTTGTAAAAATAACTGTCTGTGGAGCCGCCTTCATTTCCTCTAGCCAGACTGCGTGTATGTGTGTGCGCGCGTCAGTGTGTGTTTGTGGCAATTTTATTAAGTGTGAGCATTAAGGGCGAGAGCTGCAGCCATAACGCGACCAGTCAGCGGGTCAGCTGTTAGCTAATGAACAAGCCGCAGAGATGACACTCGGGAAATGAGCTAATTGACTGTGGTAAACCTGGAGGCCTGTTTAGAGGATGAAGCTTACTTAGAATAAAGGACAAAGCTGACTCAGTGTTATTCTAGGTGCTGACTAACTGATGTAACGGCATTAGACGCACTGGAAGTCACCAGAATTGGTGTGTTTTCGGTATAGGGTGGAAGGTCAACTTTATTTTTATCCACAGGGATTAGCTGGATGTCAACTTTTTTAACGTGCAGTCTGCTGAGTTGTAGAAACGCAAATATATCCAATCGTCGGCCAAACAAAGCGGCATGTCATGTCTCTAAATCGCAGGTGTATCAGTGTGATGGGAGAAAATGGGAACTAGACTAAACACCGACTGTTATCCGACTTTACCTTTTGTTATTAGTTCCCAGCACACTAAAGGTCCAAAAATCTGTCGGAGAATCACGTCTAGACATAACAAACAGAATGAGCTGTTTTGTACATGTGGGCTTTCCGTGCTTTGAACTGATGAGAAAATATTTATCTTTATTTCCCATGCAATGTATATCTATTAGGTGGATTTTTAGTTACACAGGAACCAACTAAGTCTGTCTCAAGTTGCTTTGGAAACAGCTCCAGCCACAGGGCCAAAACTTGGAAGTGGAAATAAATTGTGACTAATGATATTTGTCTGTAATTGAGTGTCACGGATGTTATACCCCATGGTGCTTTTGTGTTATTGCTTGGAAGTGGAGGGGTAATTATTTGGCCAGGCTTGGGGGAACACACAGCCAGGGAATACCAGGGGAGTTTCCCATCATGCCTCAGTAATTCAAGGCTCTTTATCCTGCCAAACCCGACTCTGGATCTGTGCTAAATGCTCTGTTTGGTAGATGTTGTTTTGTATCCTTGTAGACCCAGATTTTCTATTTTAAAGAGGCAGCTTTTTCCTGACCATATAACATACTCAGCAAGTTAATACAGTTGTTTGTCACTGATTATTTTTGCACATGCTGAGACATCTCACTTCCAAATGTTTCAACAAGCTACAGTAAGGGCATTTCAATTAGAATCAGCCCGAGTATCTGTAGCAACCATTGGCTGTGTAGAAAGATGGAGGACCCTTCAGTGAATTCAACGACAGGTAACCTAAACAGCGGTTCTAAAGCTCAATGTTTTGGTTCCAACCATGACAATCTTGGCAGGGCCTGAGTTTGCATAACTAATCCAAAAATGAGCAAAGACGTTAAGCGAGAGTGGAGCTGAGGCAAATGTCTCTGAGCCACAAACTGTTCAGTGACAGCACCCAGCTGTCACTCAAACACATAACTGTATATAACTTTAAGCCCTCATAGAACTCAAAGTTATATAAAAAAGTAATGTCAAAAACAAACATTTTTTTGTAACAGGCTGTAAACATGTTTATTTCTGCTGTATAGTTGAACAGTTTAACACGGGGACCTGTGAGGACTCACTTTTGGAATCAGCCTCAAGTGGCCGTTTGAATAAATGCAGTTTTTGGCACTTCTGCGCTGCCTTCATTTTTCAACTCTGGAGGTTGTGGTTTGGTAGTAACACTAACAGCAGTAAAATAGCTCATAGTCAAACTTCATCAACAAAAAATCCACAGAAAACAAACAGATTGATTACAGTGAAAAGAGCTAGCTGCTAAAAAGGAAGCCAGAATCTTGCAGAAATGAGTAGACCACTGCACTAACACTGCCAGAGGATCAGGTTTGGGTTCCCATGGGCCACCCATGCTGGAAACATGCAATCAAAATACAGTAAAATCATCCACAATAACATATACACATTATGTAAGTCAGAGTGATTTCACTCATTTAATCGAAAAAGTTACAAATACTGGTCAACTAAAAATCCAACATAAGCATTTTACTTTGTGCTGTTGCTGTTCTGATGACATGACCCGTTCCCCCACATCAAGGCGTACATTACTGTGAGGCTGACTGAGCAAAGAAAGAGGACAAGACCTTACAAGCTAAACAAAATCCTCCCAAAATAAAAAAATAAAAAAAGCTTGAGGTAGAGGAGGAGCGAGTTTAGCTCAAAATGTGCAGCGCAAACAGAAATAGTCACAAAAGGATTGCACACACACACACACACACACACACACACACACTCAGCCTCTGACCTGAAGGAATGGCAGCAGCCAGATTCTTGTGTAGATTGTTCCATTATAGCAACAGAGGAGGGAAAAAAAGAATGTAAAATCTGGTGAAGTCTGCAGCTAACAGTCATGTCGAGGCATGGGGGTCATTTCTGAGTATTTATTTAAACATGAGGGTGAATCTGAGGACTCCCACCTTTGGTTTTCAGCTGCTTATCTTTATTTCTGAACCACAGTGGCTCTTGTTTGCCTTGGAACAGTCTGATTGTCTGAGGTGGCTGTAGTCGTGGGATCGAGGCCTAGCTTGCAGTTTCACTCACCTGTCCAAACAGTGTCGGGAGAGGAAGTGGGCCATTTTATTCTATGAGTCTTGATGAAACCATTTTATGCGGTGCCTTATTCCCCCCACAATCCCTTGATCTAATTTTAATGACCTGAGTTGAGCCCTGGAGTTCAGCGGTTTTGGGGTTTGGACTCAGAAAACAAAGATTTTGAGAGGTGAGGGGCGTCACAATTTGCCGACAAAGTGATCAAGCCCAACAGCAGTATGAAGTTATGTCATAGCAAATCGTCAAAGCCGAGCAACAGTGTTTTCTAGATTGGAGCAGGATGAAAAACATGTGTCTGGTCTTGTGCCTTTTGAGAGCTGAGAAAAAAAAGAAACCGGGAAGCAAAGAGCAAAGGAAAGATGAAGGGCCTTATCAGAGAAATCGCAGTAAATTTAACAGTGGGAGTGATATAATGTAAAAAATCTGTTGGCTCAATGGTGAACGTGTCTGCCAGAGGAAACATGCGATGAAAACTTCAACTGGAAGGCCAAGTTTCTCTCTGACCTGCTTAAATCTGTTTCAGAAACATGGCCACCAGACAACCAAAGCAACAAGTAAACAACTGATTAAATCACTCTCTGGTTAATGTATCCTTATTTGTACAGAGGCCATGGACCAGCTTTTGTGTTCAGTGTCGCCAAGTGGCTAGTTTTCAACAGCCAGATTTTGAATTATCCCATTAATAAATGACAACTTATAATTCACTTAAAATAAGAGCAGGCAGACAAAACAGAAAAATAACCAAGCCAGTGATTGACTCTAAGAATAGAAGGATTATGGAAGGAAAGAGTCTACGCTTTCAGTCTATAATTAACATAAAAATAAAGTGGCGACAAAGCAGGCCATTACATCACAACACACAATTTATTGTTAAAAATACAAAGTATGTACAGCACGCTGATCAACGTACTGTACATGAATCAGGAGAAGGACAAGCAAAATATGTAGAGATTAGTCATTATTATTACTATATCGTGATATTATTATCAGTTCTGATTGCGTTTGAGACAAGCTCAATAGCAAATACAAAGGAACAATGAATGTTGCTGAGCAATGCATGTATCATGTTCCATGTCTGGACGCCTTCCACAGTAAAGGCTGCCTGCCAAAAGAGCTTTTCCTACTCAAGATCATAACATCCTTTATCTTCAGTCATGTATCATATTAATGGGGGATTGAGGAATTTAACATGATTGTCTCAGCCAAAAATATCTTGACATGTCATAGTGTTCAGGTTGTATGCTGCAATAATGGCCACTTTTAGTTTATGGGGCTTTTTTGCTGTAGTTTTCTTTTTTCTGATAACCAGCTGTACAAGTGTGGAATATAATCAAGCAAGCTAGAAATTTGTCCAACCTCAAGTGAGCCCTCTTAAAGAAATCCTTCAAATTTCCATCTGATTCTCAGTAGAAGTACACGCCATTTCTCTGGTAATGGCTCAATATCTACTTTATTGTCTTCTATTGTCTGTTTAAGTGGTAAAAATATGCTTCACTAGGATGACATAAATCCCTATGTTGGTACATCTAAGGGTCCTTAATAGGAAGCCACTCAGCTGTGAT